ACACACACACACACACACACACACACACAAATGCACAGAGTTTTAACTTTGTGTTGTACCCAGGAAGAAGAAAACGCTTTAGCCACTAACAGGGAGGTTTGTGTTCTATGTTGGACTAATATTTACAGACACACAGGGTTTGACTGATATCTTGGCTTGACTTGAAATTAAGAGGTCCACACCAGCAGTCAGTAGTGAAACATGCGATATGCTATTAATTGGTATGATTAATTACATATGAAGCACAAAATATATAGATATTATGCAGGTGGTGACAAGAAGGTGTTAAGCTTCATTTTGCAGGTCCCCTATTCTACATGTCCACTGGTTATGTTTCAGCAACATTGAAGCTCAGGCTCAGCACCATCATCAGTATGATCTCTGTCTACAGAGGTGCACTTGAAGTAGTTAGTTTCTTGTTTTGCTAATGGAAGGTGGAGCAATCATGGAGATGATTATTAGAACGCTAACATAACACATTAATTACATTGATCTAAATATACCAGTCAAAAGTTTAAACACACTTTCCCATTAAATTGAATGGGGCACTGGGGGATGTTTACTAAGCTTTTGTGCCTTATTTTTTGGTGCTTAACAGTAAAATTACTTGTATTCATTATTGCTAAGGAGTCGCAGTGGGGTTTTGCAGCAGAGAAAAGTGGTACCACCGAAATTGGCACATATTGTCTCATGCAGCATGTATTTTATCCTGTTCTAAGATACAACATAAAGGAGGAGATAATGGGAATATATACAAATATTCTCAGCACCTGATTTACCACCACTGCGACAGAGGGGACTGCAGCTAAAATTTAACCTCAGGAGAAAGCAGGTGTAAAATTTGATGCCCTGCTTTCGGCGTGGCAGCTGTTAGCCATCTGAGACCTGTCAGAGTTAAGAACACGCTTGAGGAAGAAGTAGGGCCCAGTAATTAATTGAATTTCATTTTCATTGACAATTTTGGCTGCCAGCAGTTATGCAAACAAAATCAAGCTAAAACAATTGTTGTGCCAGACTCAGTTTCACAATAATACTTTTGCTTTGTCGTGTGTTATAAATCCAGTGCTAGCATTTCTTTCTTGCATCGTGAAGTGAAGGAAACATTACTTGAGTTGACCTAAGCTCATTACTGTGCATGCAGTAAAATTCTGCACAAGTAAAAAGTCAGTAACAGTAAGATTTTCCTGCAGTCTGTCATCCACCACCAGCTTGTTAACCATAGCAAGTTTGTATGCTAATAGCTAAGTGTTATGAACAAGCTAAAATGAAAAATATGCATGTAGCTTTACTGTTAAGTGAGAGAGTGTGAGAGAGAGATGTGGCTTTATCATTGTGAGCCCAACGGATGCTTTAGGTCATTGTTAACCTGAAGTAGCAAAGTTTATTTGTTAAATAAATATAGACTAATAAGTAATTTCCCCCAAACTGTCAATCACTAGATTGACAGTCAATTAACTAGATGAAATACTTTGTTTTTCAGTTGAATCATATTTAGACTTCTAGAAGACACTGTTAAAATATTTTTTTAAGTTCAATAAATGCATAATGTTTTCAAAGTCTGGCAGAAGTCAGTCTGAGTGGAGTTCTGAGTTTCTTCTGACTTTCTTCTATGCTGCCTCTTGGTCCACACCAAGGGTGCAGTGTTGGAAAATATTCCATCAAATTGAAATATTGCAGTGCAGCAATATTTTTCACACCCAACGGTAATTTGCAGCAGGTTTAGTAAATATCCTCCATTGTGTCCAAACCTTTGACTGTTCTCTTCCTAAACTAAGTATAACTGAATGAAGATGGTACATTTTTATGACATTCACTTGTCTAATATTACTTCCCTGTTCTCATGTTTTACTGATCTGGAACAGGCAAAATGTAAAAATTATGATAACAAACTGAGCAGCTCACCTGGCCAGTGTACACTGAAACACACTCTTCTGGACTGCATGCAGACCATCTCAATCGAGTACAGTGGGCAGTTGGGATGATCACATCCACTTATAGTTTGATCTGGAAGTATTTGAACAGTGCCACACTCTTTTCTCCTGCACTTTAGTTTTTGCATCAGTCCTGTGACTATTAGGTAGAATGTTGACTTCTGAGAGTGTTTCAGGGTGTATGACATCTATATTTGGTGAACAGTGTGGTATGTATAATCTTGTTAGACATAGTCCTCTAATTTAAAGAATGCATCAAGACAATGATACTAAATGGATGAAGTAGCCAATGAGTCTTTAGGGTTGAATATTAGAAGACCACTCATGAAAATCAGAGCCTTTGCAAACAAGTGTTAGAGTAGTTTTCCAGAGATTTGCCAGAGAAGTATTTCATTTCCCTAAAATTTGGGGATGTGCTGGAGACAGATTTAAAAGGATGGTCAAAATCAAAGCAGCAGAGACTGAGATATCGAGTCCCTAGTATGGGCCAAGTACTGGATCCTAGAGTTCCTACAATGGACCTAGTCATTCACTAGTCCCCCCCCATGTTTGCCAGCTAAACAGCATAGTCTTTGATACTTCCAGGTTTTCATGCCCAAGCCAAGATAACTCTAATGACGACATCATGGTTGATTTGAGACTAGGCAAAACTCCTCCAGAGCTACGGAAGACATAAGAACTGTTTTCACAGATTGAGTACTCATTACAAGTGATCTAAATATGTAGTGCAATGTCTACAGTCATTGCACTTTTGGTGCCCTAAAATTGGGAGCTACGTATTGTATTGATCTGATGTGTTTAATCAACTGGTGTTGCTTTGGTGGACGTCTACTGCTTGTGATTTACCTAGCTAGAAGACACTTAACAGACTCACTACTGGTATTGGTATTTTTCTAATAGAAAATTGTCATTTTAATCTGATTCTGATTCGGATATCTGCAGTGGCTGGAATATTGCCAGTTCAGTGGCCTCCTTATACACGTGGACAGGTTTGAAAAAGTAAAAACTGCTCCAAAACACTAAGAGAACACTTGATCATCACACTATAACACCATGTCAGTTAAACTTCAGGGATATCAGTTTGTCCATTTAGGAAGCACAAATGTCATCAGTGTCAGGGACCAAGCAGTAAGGCAAAAGACACAGCTTTCAAAGTTCTAAATAATAGGCTTTTTATTAACCCACAAGTAACGAAAAATACAAACATTAACATCAGATAAATTGGACCCTAAAAAGAGGTCAACAAAAGATAAGGAAACTCAAAATACAGCAAACTGAACTGTCTGACACCTCAACAAAAACCAACTGACCTAACAAGTGACACACACAGGGGAACATGTATATATTGGCTGGCCAAACCAGTAACACACACAAGGGGTAGACCAAAGACACTACCAAAATAATCAACTAATAAACACTGAACAGACAGTCTGCTCTCAACTAAATATTTCCTTTAAATGTGAAGAAATTAACATAACTTGACAAATAAAGTTCTAACATAAACTACCAACAAATAAACAATAAAATTCTCCCAAACTCCCCCCTTCTTTATATTGGGCACTTGGTGCAGTCCAGGCCTAGTGGGAGGTATTTAAACCTGCTGCTTCCTCAGTCCAATCTTTTGGCTGAACTCTCAGTCCATCCATGGACCAGGAAACACAGCAACTCAAAAGAAAATGTACACATATTAACAATACAAAATTTATCAAACCTGCATGCTCATTGATCAATTGTGTATGTATAATATCAAAAAAATATTTATCTACAACTTAACCTACACACATAACAAAATTACCCTCCCAAGTCCATTGCTGGTGGTGGTTTAGGCCCTCACACGGTGAAGGCCAGGGCTGAGGCCTTCACAATCAGTTTCACCTCCTTTGGTGCAAATGAAAGTAACAACTGGTGGAATGGAGAGGCAAAAGCAAGAGAACCCTCAAAAAGGTAGTGGTTCTGCATGTCGTGGACACAGACAAAGGCCTCCTCCTTATCCTTCCTGACTGATTCTTCTCAGGTTTTGTTGTTTTGCTGGTGTCCTTGTCACTACTGGTAGTATGAGCCAGTACCTGCAGCCCAGTCAGGTTGCATAGGTAGTCCAGTTATGGATGGCACATCCATACATGCAGTCGCAAGAAGGTTTGCTGCATCTCCTAGCACAGTCTCAAGAGCATGGAGGAGATGCCAGGAGACCGGCCATTATACCAGGAGAGTTGGACAGAACTATAGCAGGGCAACAACCCAGCAGCAGGACCGGTATCTGGTCGTTTGTGCAAGGAGGAACAGGAGGAGCACTGCGAGGGCCCTACAACATGACCTCCAGCAGCTAGTGGTGTGCATGTTTCTGACAGAAACACAAACCTACTGGTCTGTTTCTGAGCAAAACTATCAGGGTGGCTGTCACCAGAGAATCCCAGAAGTGGCAGGTCCACCACTGACGCCTCATTCTCTTCGCAAATGAGAGTAGGTTCACACTGAGCGTATGTGAAATAGTCTGAAGATGCCATAATGAATGTTAATGCTGCCTGTAACGTCATTGAGCATGACTGGTTTGGTGGTAGATCAGTGATGGTCTGGGGAGGCGTATCATTGGAGGACACACAGACCTCCATGTCATAGTCAGTGGTACTCTGGCTTCTGTGAGATTCCAGGATGAAATTGTCAGATTGTTCCAGTGCCTGGGCCTCACGTTCTCCTGACCTAAATTCAACTGAGCACCTATGGGACATTATGTATCAGTGCACCCCACGCCACCAAGTACCACCACAGACTGTCCAGGAGCTCACTGATGCCCCGATCCAGGCCTGGGAGGAGATCCCCCAGACACCACCTCCCAGCTCATCAGGAGCATGCCCAGACATTGCCAGGAGTGCATACAGGCACATGGGCACCATACACACGTCTGAGTCACATTATGAGTTGCTGTGATGAAAGTCACCAAACTTGGATGAGCCTGTGATTTGAATTTTTTATTGTGATTTTCAGTGTGATTTTTTTTTTTTTTAAATCCAGTCCTCCATGGGTTGATGATTTGTTTCCAGTGACCATTGTTCTGAACAAATTATACAATGTAAAGTAAAGGTTTTCAACTTGAATAATTTGTTCATCAAGATCTGATGTGTGATTTAACTGTTCCCTTAATTTTTTAACAGTGTAGTATTTTATTGTGTGAACTGATCAGGACAGCGACTTTTGACTTGCAGCATTTACTATAGCCAGCAAAAGTGACCAGATGTTGAAAGACAAAACAGGAATTTAATTAAAATTACAAACTGGGCATGTCTTGGACACTCGGGTGAAGAGAGGGGCGGAGCTGTCAACTGATCACCACCTGGTGGTGAGCTGGATCCGATGGCGGGGGAGGAAGCTGGACAGACTCGGCAGACCCAAACGTATTGTGAGGGTCTGTTGGGAACGTTTAGCAGAATCCCC